TAGTACACCCAGAGAGACTACAAAGATCTGATCTATTGCTGTCCCTAATGGCACAGGTGTCGCTGGAAGTTCCATACCGGCAAGAGATTCTTTATTCCTCCTCCTTCCTCCCTTTCCCCTTTTCCATGACTACTTTTTAACTCCAAAACCAAAACCACCAACAGCAAAACTTTTGCGCTATTTTGACTCCTTCGTCTTTGTTTGGGAACTGCGGAGCCAACTTAGCCGGACTGGGGAAGGGGGGCAAGCGCGAGGGGGGACCTGGAGAAAAGTGCACTTCCCACTACTCGTAGGCCATTCACCTGCGCACCCTGAGGCGCAAACCTTCGAACGCGCGCTCCAGCACTGGAAACTGGCGTGTAGCTACAGGAGCTGGAGAGGGGCTCGGCGGCCGGCGGCGAGCGAGGGCCTCAGGCCCCGCAGCTCCACCAGGCCGGCGAGGTCGGCAGTGGCCAGCAGACGGCGATCGCGGCCTGCTTGGTGGCTGGGTTAGGGCAGACCCGCGCAAGGCCTGTGCCGAGGCTCTGCAACCGAGAGGGCTCACGCGGTTTCTCCTGCGGCTCTGGGCAGTGGGGGGAGGGGAGTCACATACTCCACCCCGGCAAGTCTTCTGCGGTGTGCCCCTCTAGCCTGCATCGAGCCCGGCGCCGCGGTACCCTCCCAGGGGCGCGCTACCCCGGTTTCTTCTCGGTCTGCGCCTCCTATTGGAGGCCCTCCTGTTGGCCGAGATGACCTCGAAAGCCTCTTCTACTTGGACTGTCTTGCTCTCCTTTTTCTTACTCCTACGCTTTCTTTGCTGCCTTCTCCAATTCCTCGTTCGAAACATTCTTGTCTCTTCAAAAGTCCTGCCTAAGAATTGGCGGCTTCCTCGTGATTTGCCTCCCTAGAACTCTGGTCTCAGCCCTTTGGGGCGACAGCAGAGCTTGGAAGCCTGCGTCCTGGGCCGTCCCCGGAGGCGCCTACGCGTGGCCTGCATTTTCAAGAGGCCTCAGAAGCCCCTGGAGCTCAACTGTGGGAGGGTAGCGGACATGGGTGGACACAACTCCCAGGAGCGTGTCATCAAGACAGGCTGTCTGCACCAAGGCGGAGGAAGACAGGAAGAGTTTTTAGTTTTCTTTGCTGTGACCTTTGTCTCCCCAGAAAGCCTCACCTGTCCATTTCTCTGCTTTGCTGGTAGCTTGAGACTGGCACTGGTACAGAAAGTCACCTCTAGGTGCCTGAAAGCTAGCTTTAATTACAGATTGCTAGGGGCAGGGAGAGGATTCTGTCCAGTGACCTCTCTACTTCCCAGATTTCTCCTGAACACAACAGTGGGGTGGGGAAACAAAATCTAAAAGTTTTGGTTACTCTATATAGGCAGTGTAAGCCAATGGTGTTAGATTTAAAGTCCTGAACTCAGTGTATTTGAAGATCAAAGACTAGTGTATATTTCTTAAATATATCACATATATATGTATGCATATGTGCTTTGTGTGTGCACGTGTATGTAAATATATGCATATATTGTATGTATGGGTGTGTATATGCATATGTATATATACACATGCACACACTATGTGTGTACACATGTATGTATACCTATACATATTTCCTGTGTATACAGAGGTATATATGTATGCATAATTCTCTCTATATACATGTATGTATATGTGTACATATATTCTGTACACGTTTGTGTATGTATGAAAATATTGTGTATACATACATATATACGTGGGTATATAATTTTCTTTAATGATGGCTTGGATTTGAATTTTCTTTAAAGATTATGCCCACAAGTGAAATTAAAGAACAGAAAGCATCTTTACTTATCTATATTCTAAGTTGATCTTCCCTTTTGCATTTTGAGCATAGAGGCACAATGAAGTTTCTGAGTTGCCAAGAGAGCAAATTTGGTCAATCATCAGGGAAGTAATTCTTAGTTACAGGTCTGGGTTCTGGCAATTCTTGTAAATAGTGTAATCTGTCTTCAAATCCTCCATCACCTAGCCTTTCAGAAAGTCCTCAGTTTGTAGGAGGTCCCTGCCAACCTGGGGAGAAGAGGTGTTTTTCAAACTGGTTTTGGAATGTTTTCTCTATTTTTAAAGAGTTACTGGGGAGAAGGGTCAGAAGGAGCAAGAAAGTGAGGCTCCCAAAAGCCATTACCGGCAGAAGTTGATATGATGCTCTTCAGTCTTTGTGCCAGGATGGAAGGCACTGAGAGGTCTGGCACGCAGTACCCTGCCACTGCCTAACTGGCACAGGCAGCGGCTGCCAATCATCTATTGCTTGGCAACAAGTTACACCTGCAGCTTTGGTTTAATACTTATGCACATGGGCACCCATAGTGTATGTGCCCGTTTGGGCCCAGGGAATATCTCCTCACTAAAAAGGACTTATGGAGAGCACCCCAAACGCTAAGTGCTAGCATGATCTCATAAAATGCTGAACCATTTACTTCCTATTTAGGTGCTTTGGAAAACAAGGGTAATGTTGTATTTGGAAACAATTTTCAGGACTATGTAGAAAGAAACTAGACTATTTTAAAGTCAGCTATCCAAGTTCCCAAAAACATAAAGCATTCCTGCAATGCACACTGGAGTGCAGGGTGTTTATAAAATAAATTGCTCCATTGATATGGAAAATAATGTGCCAAGCCTGATTCATACAAAGTATTTTCAGGGGGTCTTAGGCTATTTGGTTTAAAATCTAAATTGAAAAGCACAGAAAAGAAATCTTTCAATTGCTAAGTGGATAATATAGTTTATAATTTGTAAACCATTTCCTTTATTTCAGTCTTGCTGACTTTCCATAACACTGGATCTCACTGCACACCCATCACCTCCTAAATTATCAAAAAAAAAAAAAAAAAGGTCTATAGTATTCTTAAACAATATTCTTGTTCTTTGTTGTTGTTGTTGTTGTTCATTCACAATGTAACTGATATTTGGAGGTAGTACATGAAACAAATGAAAAGATTTAATAAATTCGATTGGTGAAGTAAGAAGGTAGTAGAAAACCAAGTTTATAACCTAGATATTTAGTGAAAAATAAATATGAAATGACGTTTCCTTTCTAATATAATTATATATTTTTCAATGAGTTCACTATTAAATGCCGAATAGCCTGAAATGAAATCAGTTTAATCTGCAGAGACCAATTTGCTGTTGCATTGCATGCTGTAGTAACCTTGCAATAATAATAATAATAAGCTACAGTAGTAATTATAGTAATTGATAAGAAAGAAAGCATTATCCCTGTACCTTGGAAAAGCGATAGGGTCAGGAAATTCACAACATCTGAATTTTTTTAATAGGGGTGGGAGAAAAGAAGAGGTGTCACGCATTCACTGTCCAACATACTTAAACATCCTTATTACTACCTTTCTGCTCATTATCGTATGGTTATTTCTGTTACAAGAAGTTCGGTCAACGACTTTAGTTAGGCTCCACTTCACCCACCAGCAATCTCCCAAGCACCTCCCACTCTGGCGCTCCTGGAGACGCCCCCGTTACTCCTTAAGGGCGCTGGAGGGGTTCGTGGTATCAACAGATTTTCTATCAGAAACCTTTGGGCCACTATCATATTATCCGGATGGAAAAGGTAGAGTAAGCACAATGGTGTTATGGAAGACACTGTGAGGTTCATGAATTATAACCGCAGGTGTATGCACCAGTCACTCCAGGAACAAGGCCTTTTTCTTTGCACTGCAAGAAAACAGCATCTGACCCTCCGTCCCCGGGCCCCACATTTCCGATTCCCTTTCAGGGGTCTCGCTGCATTCACGTAGTTTTCGAAGTTCTTACGCAAACAACTTGTGGAAGACGCTCTCCAGAAGAACATGGGCTACCTCATTTTTGTGCGATTTTTAACTTTTTCAAATGTTGTTAAGTAACTAGATTCCAGATAATTTTGTTTTCGACCTTCCTAGAAATTCCTTTTTAGGAGGAAGAAGCCAAATTGAGAAGCGTGCGTGACTATTACAGCCAAGTTTATTAAAAGACGTCCCTCAAAAAAAAAAAAAAGTTCAGGGCTGATGCTAAAAGAAGTTATAAAGCCAGGCTCGACACAAAAGCTCCCCTGTTAGGGGACTTATTGGGGTCTGGACTGTAAAGGCCTTGCCTACGAGAGGGGGCACTGGAGAACTTCAGAACCCGCGAGCACGCGGCGGCGAAGCACGCATCCCTGAGAGAGCGAGGGGGACTGAGTTGCCCAAGCCTCGCAGGGGAGCCTATGGGGGCCTTTCGAATTGTGTACCTCGGACAGTATTTCCTGCTCCCAAGGTCGCGCCCTTCTTTCCATCCCTGGGGCCAAGCTGAGTGAAGTTCCTGCCTCAGTCCTCAACTTTCCCCTTCCCAGATGGTGTAAAGTTGGCAGGCAGGGGGACAGAGGGGTTAGGTCTAGGATGCGCTCAGTTCAACGTGGCTGGGGGCTGTATTCCTTACCCCTCCTGCCACCCTGAATGATTCTATCTTCCTCTTGCTTTTAAATCCAATCTTTAATCGCGCGGAGCGCGCGGGCGGGAGAGGCGAGGGTGAGCTCGGAGTTCGCTGCCGCCGAGCGCGCTCAGGAAGCAGCTTGGCTGTGACCCCCTCCCGGGCCTCCTCCCCCCCGCTTCCTGCGCCTCTGTTCCCCCCCCCCCTTTTTCTCCCCTCCTCCTAGCACCGCCGCCCGCGCCCAGTGCATCTACTCCCTCCCCACGTCACTCGCCAGCGCGCCATGCAAATCACCGCCGCCGCCAGCTCCCATTGGCCGCGGCGCGCTCATTTAATGGCAGCCCGGGCCGGGCGTATGGCTGCTGGGCCCCGCGCGCCGCCGGCCCCGAGTGCGCCTCTACTCCCAGCGCACCGCCCCGGGCAGGCAGCGGGCAGCTCGGGCTCGGCGGCCCCGGCTTCCTGGACCTCTCTGCGCGCCTGCGCTCCCTCGACTGCCCCCGGCCCCCCTCCCCAGCTGCACCGTAATCCGCCCCCCGCCCCACTCCACTCCCCCCTCGGCGCCTTGCCCCCCCTCACCCCCAGGCACCTGGGACCCGCACATGCCCAGCGCACGCGGCGCGCAGCTCTGCTAGAAGTTGCATCCCGGAGTTGGAGGCCGCTGAGGACCGAGTGCAGCAGGAAGGAGGTAGCACCGGCTGGCGGAGGCCGGCGAGGAGAAGGCAAGTTCCAGACCCGGCTCAGAGCATCACTCTCATCCGGAAAAGTGGAGCTGCAACTTGGCCACGACTGCACCTGTTTGCACCGCTCTGCCGAGGGCGACCCAGCTGCTGCAGCGGCGAGGACGGCGACCCCGGCCATCACCCTCTTTGGCAAGTGGTTTGTGCACGAGGACAAACTTTCCACCTGTGAGCCGGCCCGGCGCTGAGTGCGTGTGTTTTTGCCTCTTTTTTGTTTTTGCCTCCACCTACCCCCTTCTTCTCTCTGCTAAGACCTCTCTCCACACACTGACCCCCAAGTATCGCTTTGCTTGAGTCCCTCTCCAACTCCCTGCCCCCCGGCCGTCTATGCTCCAGGCCCTCTCTGCGCGGTGCCGGTGAACCCGTGAGCCGCCCCAATGTACAGCATGATGATGGAGACCGACCTGCACTCGCCTGGCGGCGCCCAGGCCCCCACGAACTTGTCAGGCCCGGCCGGGGTGGGTGGCGGTGGGGGCGGTGGGGGCGGTGGAGGTGGCGGCGGCGGCGGTGGGGGCGCCAAAGCCAACCAGGACCGGGTCAAGCGGCCCATGAATGCCTTCATGGTGTGGTCCCGCGGGCAGCGGCGCAAGATGGCCCAGGAGAACCCCAAGATGCACAACTCGGAAATCAGCAAGCGCCTGGGCGCCGAGTGGAAGGTCATGTCCGAGGCCGAGAAGAGGCCGTTCATCGACGAGGCCAAGCGGCTGCGCGCGCTGCACATGAAGGAGCACCCGGATTACAAGTACCGGCCACGCCGCAAGACCAAAACGCTGCTCAAGAAGGACAAGTACTCGCTAGCCGGCGGGCTTCTGGCAGCCGGCGCAGGCGGTGGCAGTGCCGCGGTGGCCATGGGCGTGGGCGTGGGTGCGGCGGCTGTGGGCCAGCGACTCGAGAGTCCCGGCGGTGCGGCGGGAGGCGGCTATGCGCACGTCAACGGCTGGGCCAACGGCGCCTACCCCGGCTCGGTGGCGGCGGCGGCGGCCGCCGCGGCCATGATGCAGGAGGCACAGCTGGCTTACGGGCAGCACCCGGGCGCGGGCGGCGCGCACCCGCACGCGCACCCGGCGCACCCGCACCCGCACCACCCGCACGCGCACCCGCACAACCCGCAGCCTATGCACCGCTACGACATGGGCGCACTTCAGTACAGCCCCATCTCCAACTCGCAGGGCTACATGAGCGCCTCGCCCTCGGGCTACGGTGGCCTCCCTTATGGCGCCGCGGCCGCCGCAGCCGCCGCTGCGGGCGGCGCACACCAGAACTCGGCCGTGGCAGCGGCCGCCGCCGCGGCGGCCGCGTCGTCGGGCGCCCTAGGCGCACTCGGCTCTCTGGTCAAGTCGGAGCCGAGCGGCAGCCCTCCGGCCCCGGCGCACTCGCGGGCGCCATGCCCTGGGGACCTGCGCGAGATGATCAGCATGTACTTGCCCGCCGGCGAGGGCGGCGACCCGGCGGCGGCCGCCGCCGCAGCCGCGGCGCAGAGCCGGCTGCACTCGTTGCCGCAGCACTACCAGGGCGCGGGAGCGGGCGTCAACGGCACGGTGCCCCTAACGCACATCTAGGGACGCGGTGGAAACTGCGGCCCGCGCCGGCAAAGCGTGAAAAGGAGCGTGCGGCCCGACCCGGGCTCCCGGCCTGGCCCAGAACAGCCGTGCTTTTGTGCAGACGTTTCCACGTTCTTGTAGAAAGAAAAACACTGGCTAAGAACACTAGGTGACACATCCCCCTGCCCCGCACTCGCCTTTCCTGGAGCTTCTGGGGACGGCTAGGCGCGGACACAGTCGTGCGTTTTAGACTGAACTTCAGTGTTTTCTTGAGACTTTTTGTACAGTATTTATCATCCACGGAGGCTGAAAGCGTTTCTTTGCTCGAGGGGACACAAAGACCAAACCAAGCAAGAGGCGACTCCAACTTTTCTATCCTGCTGGCCCGCTCACTCTCATCCTGCCTGGCTTCCTGGTGGCGTTTGGTTGCCCGGGAGAGCCTGTGCCAGGAGCTGTTCTCATTTGTTATCGATGTAGTAAGGCAGATCCAAACACAAGTTTTTCGTAGTTGTTACCGCTTTTTGGGTTGGTTTGTTAATTTATACAAAGAGATGCCCCCATCCCTTTCTGACGGCATCGTTACAGTCTGGGTTTTGTAAAACTTTTCTGTATCTGAGCTTTTCCATTTTTTGGTTTTGTAATTATTTCTTGTAAATGCATTGTGAAACTTTTATTTTAGGCGTATCGGCGTGGGGAGGGGTATTCAGATTATGTACATAGTTTCCTAAAAAGCCTTTCTTCTAAAAAACGAAAAAGATCCTTCCCCTTTTAAAAATGCATCGAGTTTTGAGTCAATAAATTTAAGAGAGGAAAAAAACCCTCGTTTTTCCACGTAAATTTGAAACGTGCTAATTTTATATGCATGTTTTATGAGCTCAAAATACAACTAGTAAATCTAACGAAGGAGAAATTACAGCATGGACTAAAGTGAGGGGAACCCCAGGGTAGAGGGTACAATTTTCATGGAGCTTCGTTCAGTGGAAGGGAAGGAAGTTAAAATCAATAGATTATTTTGTAGAGTTTACAGTGTTAATACAGAATGGGAAATAATTACAAAAAAAAAAATCATTTTGTATTCTGGCCCTTTGGTGTGTTTTTATCTTCGGGCGACACCGTGAGTTTTTCTATTCCTTGCTGTGGGCTTTGCATCCTGCAGCTGGCCCGGATCTGTGCCACCAGGAGAGAAGACCCCAATGGCGGGACCAGGCCAAGGTTGGATGACAAAAGACCATGGCAGGGGCATGAGTGCCCCCTATTTCCCTGCAACTAACAAGACTGCAGGTGGAATTTATCTAGATTTGACTCAAAGAAACACTATCTCTGAACTAAAATGTACTGTAACCAAGCCCCTTCCGCCCCTCCTCAGCCTCTATTTCTGGCTTATTTCTCCTTGGGAAAGAGCAAAATAATTTTGTTGGATTTTCATACACAGACAAAAAATTGCCCCCCCCCCCCAAGAACTGGGATGCAAGTTGCTAACTGATGTGAATGCAAAATGCGGTGTTTATTATTCCTGACGAGATCTGAAATTGTTTGATGCTTTAAATTTTTTAATTATATTTTTTCTAGGTGTTTATTGGACATTGCAGTTTTTTTCTGGAATTTAAAGTTTTCTGTAAAACTTTGTCTTCAAGTAATCTGACAGCATTAAATATTGCATTTAAAAGTTATACTGTAGCAAATACATTTTGAAATTAGTCACAACATAAAAGTGAAATTATATTTTTGAAAAAAGAAACCTTTAGCCCAGATCAAAATATGTTGATTTTATCAACCCCTCATTTTTGCAACATCTTTTCTTATCCTGGAATGAGTATAGACTATCCATCCAAAAATGGGCCTGTGGTGGTGAGTTAATGAGAACCAAATTCAGACTGCATTCAGGGATGGCTTTAAGTAAAATGCTAACCTGGCAATTGATGTGTAATTTTTTGGAGTAATTTTAATCATTTTGTTTAAACCACGATTCCTTAAAGTGACTGCAAAATTTTCAAAAATGGGGGAGGGGGGATAGATTGCTTCTTCCAAACAAAATAAAATGCCCCTCTATTTTTTTTTTTTTCTTCCCTGCTTTAGGAATCTGATCCTTTGTGAAAAGTGGTTCCTAAAAGTGTTTGGATATATATGGGTTGCTAAGCAGAACAGCATCATGAGATCTGGGAATATGCCACACACAGTCCCCTCTGGGAGAGATGCTTTGGGAAATTCTGTAATGCTCTATTAACTCATCAGCCAGTTTAAGGGTCAGACCACATTTACTCTGAAATATGCAGAGTTAAATGGACTCTCTAGTTCTTTTGCTAACTCCCAATTCAACCTCTCCCTGCGCTTACTAAAGTGGTAGACAGATGTGTGGCCATGTGCACCTAAGTGTATGCCCAAGTTTATATCCATTCTCAACTATTGGCATGTAGTCTTAGCTCATCACACATATTAGTAATGTGGGTCATACTTGAAATGTTTCAGACTATAAAAAGTTGAGCAATATGCTGGGAACTCTAGCAGAGCTGTCTGTTGGTTTCCCAGAAGGTGGATTTCGAGTTTAGCATTTTTTCGTATGTGCCCCATACATAGTCCGATGAAACATTCAATGCCAGGTGCACCAAGTCACTGCTATAAACTCAGGATGATCTTAAAATACGAATTCCTGAAATTCAGCGAATTTGTTTTGTTGGTGAGAAGGACGTGGAGAAAAACAAACAAATTCTTTATGATTCCATACGGGGAGTCGAGGGGAGCTGGGGTTCCTTCCTCAGGATGATAGCCCATCGCGCCAGCAGTGTTTCTCCCATTTCAACTCGTGGATTTATTCTGCTATAGAACCGAACTGTGAACTCGGTTCTTGCCAAGGTACTCCACATCATATTATTGAAATGAAATTTTGTATGATGATAATTATTATATGATGGCTTTAGTCACTTCTCAAATCACGGGGTGGTATTTCTATCGCTTATTTCAATTTTGTTTGAAAACAATATGGAGAACCAGGACAGGCCTCTTTGCGGGCCTCGTACAAAGTTTGCATAACTTCCGGCAAGGACTATTGCGGAATTCCTCATACGCAGCCCACTGCACGAGTCTGGGCTCTCTTAGCTGAGGGTAGCGGGATTTGCTTGAGAGTTTTTTCCCCTGATGTCTCTTATCACCACCGCTACCACCACCACCCCCGCCTTAAAAAACAAATAAAAACCAACTCTTTGGCCCCTGTTGTTAGGACTTTGAGCCACCTCTCACCCCCATCCCCACCCCCACCCCGCCAAAGAAACCCACCAGTGGCTAGGTGAAATGAATTAATCTTAAAACCAGTAGCGGGTACTGCGCGCCTGCTCTGCAGATGTGTGTCGGGTAGCGTGACTGATAGGTCTATTAAAATCATGCATGTGGGAGAAGAATAGCACGCATATTCACGCATTTCATTTTCCCGACAAAGACAGGGCAACGCAGATTTCTCTCTCCAGAAAATTCTGGTTAATTCGAGAAACTCAGCACGGGTGGCGGGCCCCTGGAAAGCGCGCTGCAGGGCGACCTGGGCTCCTGCACCCGCTGCCCGCGGCCCCCAGCGCTCCCACCCTCGCTTCCCCAGCCTGGCCCAAGGGGCAGAGGCTCCAGATATGTCGGCAGCAAAATGTAATAATAGGTTTGATTCCTTGGAAACTTCAAGTGAAAAGCAGACTTGGCCTTGGCGCAGCTCTTTTTCCAGCGTGACTATTAGGCGGGATTGAAAGGCCGGGCCAGAAAGGGAGGGGTGACGGGGATGCAGGCTCCCTGAGGCTAGGAGCCCAGGAAGGTGGGCCCGGGTTCTTGGCCCCCTGTCCTGCAGGGTTGGGGGGCGCGAGGACCCAGCGAGTGCCAGCGGGTGCGCGCGCAGGGAGGCCGGGCCTGGGGTGGGCAAGCAGAGACCTTCGCCTTCGCCCTCAGATCCCGGCCCCCGACCGGCGATTCCCAGCCCCACGCGGGGCGCAGAGCTTGTCCCCACCTCCACCCCTTCCTTCCCTAGCTTCCCTCGCTGCTCCCCCTCCTCCCCCTCTTCCTCCCTTCATCCTCCCGGCCCTTCCTCTCCAGCTGCGCTGCAGCTCGGCGCCCGCTTCGCCCGCCCCCGGGAACCCGGCAGGCTCGGCGGCGGGCGGCGTCCTGCATCCAGGATCCGAGTCTTGGGTCTCCTCCCGTCGGGGGCAGACAGACCCCCCAGCTTCTCAACGTCGCCCTTCTCTTGCTCTGTTCACAGTTAAAACCCCGAACAGTGGGCGATTTCCTGGCCTTCGCTTCTCATCCTGCTCAATTCTTTTACTCTCCACCTTTCTGGAATCCCCTTCCAGTCGCGTTATCTATTCACTTCTCCTTTATGTCCTCCTCTTCTCCGCTCCCTTCCTCTCCTCAATGACTCCAGCATCTTTCCTTCCCCTTCTCTACAGTCCCGGCTTTCCCTTTGTCTCTACTCGCCGCCTCCTGCACTCCCCAAGGCTTGAGACCTGGCCCCTGGTGGTCCCTGTGGAAGCCCCAGGACGCTGCCTCTGAGTCTTGGGTCAGGGTCGGCAGGTGCCAGGGAGCGGCCCATCATCAACGGTCCCTCGGCGGAGTCTCCACGGGCTCCGCGTGGGAGGAACCTGGGGGTTTCCGGGAACCTTCTAGGAGCCTGCGGCCTGGGCGTCCGCCCCCAACTCACTTAGGTGCAGCCCGGACTCGGAGGCCGGGCGGGGTGTCAGCCGCCGGGGGATTAAGATGACTGATGCGAGGGAAGAGGGCAAAGTGTTTTTGTGTTTAAAGAGGCCAGGATTAGTAGAGAGAAAGTCCTGACCCGGGGTCAGCTGCAAGTCAAACCCTTTTACAATCAGCCAGCGGAACAAGCACGTCTCCCAGTCCGGCCGCAACAAGTGGGAGGAAAGGAGGGGGAGGGGAGGCAGGGCGTCTCCGGCTGTAGCGCGGGCGGAGAAGCGGGGTGGGGGGTTGGGGGAAGCGGCGGGGAGATGGGAGTTGCGCACCCCCGGACTGGGAGGAGGGAAGGCGACGGAAAATAGGAAGTTTCGCACCCTGGGGCTAAGAAGTGGAGGGCGGCGGGGAGAGGGACAGACCCTCAGCCCCAGCCCCAGCCCTCTGTAGGGGCCCGCGCAGCGCGGAGGGGCGCGGGTAGCGCGAATAAGCTTGATGTGGGCTTGGAGCTTTACAGGGCGGGAGTAGTTTGTCCGTCAGAATTCTTTAAACTAGGATGCCTGCATCTCCCATTTCCTGAGCTGTCTTCGGCTGCTCGGATGGAGACTGGGTGGAATGCTCACTGGGTTTTCTGTTCTGAAACTCTGTCTTATAAAAGCAATCTCATTTCCATGAGAAACCAAAACTAAAAGACCAGGTTCTTGGTCGCTCTGCCTTTTGTGTTCTTACAGGCTCTCCAGGAATTGTTGCCTTAACTTAGGCTGTGTGTGTGTGTGTGTGTGTGTGTGTGTGTGTGTGTGTGTGTAATACATATATTAAGGCTGTCTCTGGACCTCATTCTCCATCAAGGTGGAGAAAGGAAGCACTAATTTGAGTTTTAAACCTTGGCATGGTTCATCAGGGCCTCGGGTTCATATGAAAAGTAAGGAAAATTGGAGTTTGTGGTGAAGATGCGGGTAGGGTCAGGGAAGAAGAAAGCAGATACATGTCTCTTACTTAGTTGTCAGGTTGGCAATTTGTGCTGAAATAACACCATCGGGAGTTTTAACAAATATGAAAAACAAAGAACCCAAACAAGTGATATATCCAAAAATAGAGAGAATCTGTTTTGATAATTAAAAAGCAGATTGCCATATTTTCCTATAAATTGGCTTTTTGTTTTTAAATATAAAATCATCAACGGGGGGGGGGGCAGTTTTAAAACAACACAAAACAAATAACTCCAAGTGAACTGACACATACCCACAGCCTACCCTGGGTAACACTGGTACACTAGGGTGCTAAATGGGTTCTGGGTTCCAAAGCAAGTAACAGATTGCTACTTGGTAAGTTGCTAAATGTAACCTATGGGGAAAATTTGTCTGTGGCAGAAACTCTGGACATTGTAATTCTGAATGGCCCGGCAGGCAGCTCCCAAGGATTTAATTGCCCCAGCCACTTCAGAACAACCATGTGGGTACATTAAAGATGTTGTTTGTGAAGAACAGCAGGTCATCACATGCAAAGCCTGGAAATAGTCAGCCAGTCAAATCAGTGGAAAAAATCAGCTTTTGTTAGATTTTGCAGTTTCAGGAATTAGGCATTCACTGCAGAGCTGCAGTTTTGAGAAATTGCAATGTCAGGCA